CATAATGTCTTTAATTTCAATAGCATTAAGCATTTAATTACCCAGTGGGATGAATTAATGTGGTGCTTTGTTTGCTCTACAATTAAAAACGAGCAGGAGAGATACAGTGTAATTGTCAGTCTGCTTTAAACTTCCCATATCACTTGGTGCTCCGGGAGATGAGCTGATAGTTTGCGAGGGATGGGAAGGAAAGGGCTTTTCCCAAGGAAAGCATGATCCTCCCTCTCCCTGAGCATGCAGGAGACATGGTAATGCGCTTACCCGGCTTAATGGGATATTGCTGGGGCGTTTGGGACCAGGTTTCAGGTCTGACAACAATTTTGCTGCTGCCAGTGTTGCCTTGTTGTTGCTGGGTTTTTTTAGCTGCAGTAGAAGAAAGTTTGAAGGCAGTGCTTTTAACTCACACCCTGCCAGTGGGAATTTCCACGATGAGAGCTGATAAATGAAACTGCCTGAAATAGCTGGGACGAGGCACAAAAAACCCAAGAGCCAGCCCAAGGCCAGGGAAGTACTTTCGGCCCTTATTTCTAACCTCCTTTTGGCTCCCTGTGACGCAGCTTGCTGCAAAGGGGAGGTCGGGGCAGACGGCAGGTGGAAAGCTGGGTGGGCTGAGCCTGCCTGGTGCTGTACGGGTGACTCCTGAGCTCGGGTGTTCCCCAGGCTGTCAGACGGTCTGTGCAGGGTGAGCTCGCTTGAAGCCAGCCCGGGTCACTGGAGCTTTGAAAGCACAGCCAAGTGCAGACTGACCCTTCCCGAGAAGACGGGCCAGTGAAAGGCACTGGGCCAGGACCAGCGAGATCTGGTTGCAGACCAGTAGATCTGCGGTTTGATTTCTGTAAAATGGGTACAGTCACCTTTCTTTCCCATCGGGGCAGCTGTCAAATGCACATACGCGTGAGCTCTCTGAAGCAGAGACTGCCCGAACTGTGGGTGCTCAGAGCACCACAGGGTCCCAGCTGCTTCCACCTGGGGCCTTCCAATGCAAATGCTAAAGTCTTTAGCAAAGCATGTGTAAGCTGCCCGCAGCTGTGTGACACCCCCAAGCTGGGGGCTGCACGCAGAGCCTGCAGGGACCCAGCTCCCCTGCCCTCGGCCCTTGCACCATCGGCTACTCCCACGGGAGCAGAGGGGCTGCGACCCCCTTATCCCCGAGCTCTCGCTGCTCAGCTGCTGCTTTGATGTGACTGTTGCAGGTAAGGCTGTGGGGAAGCCCTGGCCGGCTGTGCCACTCTGCTCACCCTGTGGCGTGTGTGTCAGGCTGCAGCTGCCCACGTGGACACGTGTCCGTGATGAGCGGTGAGCGCACGCGGCTCCCGAGCCAGGGCTGAGCTCACCCAAAACTGCCTTGCTTGGATGCAAATGCAAAAATGGGGGCAATGGAAGGAGACTCCTGCCTTTCTGGTTTGGGACTCAACAAAGATTCAATTTTCAGTCTGAAAAGGAAAAATGTTACTGTCACTTGAGCCTGAGTTGCTCTGACCCCGTTCCAAGCAGAGCATCTGCCTGCTGCTGGCCCCGTGCCCGGGAGCTGGTGTGAAAACGGAAATAGCCAAATACAAGTCTGTGAGCAGTGGGAGCTTCCAGCAGGTAAAACGTGAGTGATCGAAGGCAAAGCCACAGGTCACTGCACTGCAGGCCTTTGCCCAAGGGCAGATTTGCTGAGAGAGGAACAGTTCACAGATGTTTTACTCCAGAATGGGCCCCCTTCCCAGTCAAAATGAGCTCAACATCTTCAGTATCTAGCCTGGGGAGCAGCTTTGGGGTTTTGCAGCTAATGTTAGTATTTTGGAGCGGCTCTGTGCTCCCATGGGGTGGATGGTGTGTGTGGGATGGCGTGGTACACGCTCTCTGAGAAGCGTGGGCTTTTCCAGGCAAACCCTGCTCGGGCTTTGGAAAGCTGCACGTTTTGTGAAGTTCATCTTTTGCAGGGAGCTGTTGCAAGCAACAAGGGAGCTTGCCCGAATCTCAATGTGAGCAGATCTCGAGATACAGACCCACCTGGGACCCGTGGCTCATCTGGATGCGACCCTATTGCCCCTGTCTGGAGGGTTAATATGATGCCCAGAAACGTGCTGATCCCAGAGCAGCGCTGAATGGCTGCCTGTAACTCCTCCACAGGTTGGTTTTTTTTTTCTTTTTCTCCCCTTGGATTATAGAAGCATTTGCATGTCCAAACTCCTCCTTCGTTTCCAGCCTGTGGATTTTCTCCATGCTGTTGGAGAGAAGAAGAAGGTCCCGAGCTCCCCTCCCTCCTTCCTTCCTAATTGTCCCATAGCTTCTTAGCCCTGTTTCTCTTATTTAGCTCATGTCCCATGTAGCAGTCCTGCTTGTTTCAGACTCGCTTCTCTCCCTTGCATCATATTTTCCAGCGCTGGCATTCTGCCTCCTGTTTTGCGAAGCCGAGAAAGGGTCGCGCATGGCCCAAGGCTGCGGGCTGCCCCAGGTATTTGCGGGGGGCTACAGGCAGGCTGCAAGGCTGTGCTGTTAGCTGCAGGCAAGCGACGTCAGGGAGAGGAACGGGGCTAGCAAAGGGCTGTCCTGGGGGAATCGGCCTTTTGTGGAAAGAGAAAACTCTTTTCTCTGCAGGGTGCCAGGGATGATCATGTGAAGGGACCCTGGGGGGGGTCACAGGGAGACTAAGTGCAGCACACAGACTTCCTGAGTGAGTCACCAGGGATTTTTCCTTGGCACGAAGGTGATGCCAAGGGAATGGCACAGATCTGCAATCGGCCGGGGTGGGGAGAGAGGAGGTGTCT